ATTACATTTTAATGAATGATAACTTGCTATTAGATAATAGGATGAATACTAAAGAACCGGTACATCAATACTAATGCATAACATATTCTCTATATGTATAATAATTAGCAATCAATCAAATTGTTTTAAAAAAAAAGATTTATAAATGCATAAATAGCTAATAAGACAATCATTATTACAATAATATTAATAATAAAAATGAATTACAGATTTAAAAGTGAAGCAAAAAGAGTGTAATTATTAACATAAAGGATATATCGACTGACAAAAAGAAAAATAGGATTGAATTGAATTGCGATTAGAATTTCATTTATAAAATACAATCAATCGATGAATTAAATGTAAATATATATATAATAATTATAATTTGTTTTTATTTCAATTAAATCTGTTCTCGCGTTAAATGTTTGATGCGTTTTGAAGATTATAATGAATTATTCAATTAGTAGTTCATTAAAGCCTTTCCGGCATTCGTCGGCCGAAAGAATAGGAAATTGTGTTTGCAGTCCATCTGCGGGTCGTTGTATTGTGTGGGCGACGACTGTTGCGAGTGTTTGCCATTACTAGTGGTGGTCGAGCTGTTCGTACACGAAGAGGACAGCGACGACGACCGCGAGCGCAGGGAATCGCCGTTTGATATACGCCGGGGAAGAGTGCCATTGGATTTGCCATAGTTTTGGGTTTGAGGTTCTGCTGGATTGCCATCAAAAAAGCAAATCAATTAATTTATGCCATAAAATAGATTTGTATTGATTTCAAAAAATCATCAATAGGTGTGACAAACCTTGAATGGGTGTCTCGTCGTATAGAGAACCGGGTATTCTCTGTTTCAAATACATGGGCGCTCTGGTGGGCGATGGCGACGGTATAGGCATATGGTATTCGGCAACCGATTCCCATGTGTTGAAGTCTTGTATGGTTTGCTCCAACTGTTTGGCCCACAGTTTGATATCAGACAATGTGTTGTCATTGGAGAGGATATAACACTTGTCGTCGGTGTTGATTGTGAGGGCATTTGAACCGCAATTCACTTTTGTCTTCTTATTGATGGGAACGACGAGATCGGCGTCAATGGTGTCGAACCTCTTCTTCGACGAGCCATAACTGGAAGAACTGTTTCGGTCGTACTTTTTGGACCAAAACCTGAGCTGAAAGTTCTTCAGCGACGCCCAGTAGACGGACTCAATCTTCTGCGTCCGAACCGTCGCCTCCTTTACCTTCAGATAACCGGCTATTCGTTCAATGGTTTGACAGTCGGGCTGAACGGCCAGACGGCAGCAGAAGTGCCCGAACAGTGGTAACTGCGAGTTCCGGTTCTCCAGATTCTCGACCACCAGATCGTGTGTTTTGATGGCATCGGACGCGTGTTTGAGGCCAAGAGTTGCCGTCGCCACCAAATGAAACTTTGGACCACTTTTTAAACGAAATGACAATTAGATTATTTTAAAAATACAATTTAACAATAAATGAAATAATAATACTTTTCAGAATCCATGTCCTCTTTGACAGCAGCGGCGAGTTTACGGCCCAAAGTCCGCGACACTGAAGTGGATATCTTTTTGGACAACTTTCTGGGCGTCGAAGCGATGCTGAGGTCGTCGTGAAGAACACGCGAATAGACCTCTAATTTGAATTCAAAATCGGGTGGAATGTTAGCGAAGACACAGATGTCGTCAAACTGTATATCAGTGACACTTCGGTCCACATTTGTGACCATAATTGTGTCATATATTTCGGTCCCGATCTTCAGCAGACAGAAGACAGCGAATCGGCGGTAATCGCCTTTGTTTTTGAAGTGATCCGAGTCTTTCCATATCAATGGCATTCGTATATCTGTATAATTAAATTGACTATTAGTTGAGGCATTGAATTTGATTTAATTAAATAAATTTTTGTAATTTTGGTTTACATCAAAAGGTATTTTTAATTCTCGCGATTAGAGATAATTACAGCGATTATAATCTGAAATCTATTTTTAATGGCCTTTCGCTTGATTTATAGAGTATTGCGGTTAATATAATGTAATATTTCTTATTCTTCTTCTTTAACTAAATTACTATTAATTTTAAATTTTATAACAATTATTTGATCTAAAAGTTTCGTGCCTTCGGAGTAATGGATATAAAAGTTTTTCAAAAGGACTTCTGTCTCAATAGTACTGTTTTGAATGATAAATTAGTGGCCAATTATGATTTAAATTTTATAACAATTATTTGATCTAAAAGTTTCGTGCCTTCGGAGTAATGGATATAAAAGTTTTTCAAAAGGACTTCTGTCTCAATAGTACTGTTTTGAATGATAAATTAGTGGCCAATTATGGCTTAAATGATATAAAATGTTAATTAAAACTCAGGGAATCAAATAGTAATCCATCAGAAAGTTTGTTCATTTGTATATAAATAACAGAATTAATTGAAATGAAAATATGAACCAAATATAACTTATATTATACAATATATAGAAAATATTATGTTTCTAAGAAAAAACAATAAACAGTGTTATTAATGGAGTGAGAGATCTATTTTCGCTTCCTTTTCGTTTACTCTGAGATTTTCTCTCGTTTTTCCCATTCATACGAGTATTTCGTTTGGAGTCCTTTAAGTGATTATTTGTTTCCCAGAGTTTTGTGACATAAAAAACAGGCAAAACAAAAATAAATCCTCAGCGAAAACCATAGACTTAAACCACGATTTCTTTAAATAAATATATATTTCTCTCACCGCGAGAGTCAAGTAATGTCTTCCCTCTCCAGACGTGTATATAATAACAAAAACAATGATTTCTTTCTTTTTCAGTTCCCATGCAATGGACTGACAATCGGAACAAATGGTCAAAACACAGGCTATTTTTGTGGTAGACTTGAAAACCATAAGCAAATTACTATATTTTTTGTTGAGACGATTGTTACTGTGATGTCATTTGTTTTGTCTCATTGTATACTAACTATCAATAAAGTGCTGTCTCCTCTCTCTCTCTCTCTCTCTCTCTCTCTCTCTCTCTCTCTCTCTCTCTCTCTCTCTCTNATTGTCAGTCCATTGCATGGGAACTGAAAAAGAAAGAAATCATTGTTTTTGTTATTATATACACGTCTGGAGAGGGAAGACATTACTTGACTCTCTCTCTCTCTCTCTCTCGACAAATGTTATACAATAATAAAGTTAAAGAGTTTATTGATTTCAAAAAATTGTTGTTTTTTGTGTGAAAATCTCATATCTCAAGAAACAAACAAAAAAAATTATAACATTTTATGTAATAATAATCTACTATTTATTAATTGAGGAAATTGTTGATATCTTCTCCGACAACTGTTTACACGACAAAAACTACTGAAATATTTATTATACGAGAAGTTTGTATACAAAATAAATCCCAGAATTCAATGAATGAATGAAAAGATTTATTTTGAAATATAAACCATTTGTTGAATTGAAAATTTTTTTAACGCCCGGAAGTATAAAATAAAAATCGACAGAAAAAACAAAATTCAAAACCACTTTTGGCTGATATGAAAGTTTTTTAGGATTATATTTATGTTAAATATTGTATACAATTGAGCCTTAATTTAGACAAAAGAAGATCAAAATCGGTTAACAAAAGCCATAATAAAAGCGTATAATAATGTAATAAATGGTACACTAAATGGATGAACAAATTTCATCACAATTGTGGCCACTTTTGTGTGGTTTTAATTATGTTTTTGTTATTTCTGCTAAAAAAATATTGTTTAAAGAGAGTCTCAATATCTTTATGTAATTGTATTGTATGTGTAAACAAGAAGTTTTGTTTCTTTTAAAAACCACAAAAAATTAAAATTTGTTGAATTCTTTGCGGTTGTCGTTTGAAAAAAGGTATTTGAAAGCATATAATTGCTATCAAATTAAATTTTTGTATATTATAGACATTTATTTAGCTGTCATTCAAACTAAAACTTAAAAAGGTTATAATTGAGCATTTTTTGTAAGCCTTCAGAGTTAAGAGAAATAATTGGATTTAATATATGGTGTAAATGAATATTAAAAATACCTTTAAAATAATGTAAAATTATATAAATATACACTTAATTTGGCCCAAGATTTCAGATTAATTCAGTAAAAATAATATCAAAAGTGTATTAAATATTATACAACAACTCACCAGAAACTGAAACCTTTGCTTTTCCGCCGTCGCCTTTAGGGCTCAGATATTTCCTATTTTGCAAAATATAAAACAAATTTTTTATATGCCGAATACCATATGCCTATACCGTCGCCATCGCCCACCAGAGCGCCCATGTATTTGAAACAGAGAATACCCGGTTCTCTATACGACGAGACACCCATTCAAGGTTTGTCACACCTATTGATGATTGTTTGAAATGAATGCAAATCTATTTTATGGCATAAATTAATTGATTTGCTTTTTGATGGCAATTCAGCAGAACCTCAAACCCAAAACTATGGCAAATCCAATGGCACTCTTCCCCGGCGTATATCAAACGGCGATTCGTTGCGCTCGCGGTCGTCGTCGCTGTCCTCTTCGTGTACGAACAGCTCGACCACCACTAGTAATGGCAAACACTCTTCACAGTCGTCGCCCACACAATACAACGACCCGCAGATGGACTGCAAACACAATTTCCTATTCTTTCGGCCGACAAATGCCGGAAAGGCTTTAATGAACTACTAATTGAATAATTCATTATAATCTTCAAAACGCATCAAACATTTAACGCGATAACAGATTTAATTGAAATAAAAACAAGTTATAATTATTATATATATATATTTACATTTAATTCATCGATTGATTGTATTTTATAAATGAAATTCTAATCGCAATTCAATCCTATTTTTCTTTTTGTCAGTCGATATATCCTTTATGTTAATAATTACACTCTTTTGCTTCACTTTTAAATCTGTAATTCATTTTTATTATTAATATTATTGTAATAATGATTGTCTTATTAGCTATTTATGCATTTATAAATTTTTTTTTAAAAACAATTTGATTGATTGCTAATTATTATACATATAGAGAATATGTTATGCATTAGTATTGATGTACCGGTTCTTTAGTATTCATCCTATTATCTAATAGCAAGTTATCATTCATTAAAATGTAATAATTATTATAATTACTGTTAATTTACGGCCAAAATAAAAGAGATTTGTATTTCTAATGTCTAATCGACTTTAATTTATTTACAAAAATTTTTAAAAATTTGTTAATTCAGTGTTTGGTTTAGAATTTTAATGAAAATTAAGAAATATTTTGAAGCCATTTGTGTTTGAGAACAGTATGGATGTTAGGCCTGGCATTCGGGGCACTACTAGTCATCGACTCCAACAACTCCTTCAATGACTGGCTTTCAATGTCTTCAATAAATTTATAGAAAATATTAGCGAAAATAGCGAGAGGTTTGTTGTTTAACACAAATTTGCTTAAATCTCCTCTCAATAACACCAATAAAATTATTCCCAAACTATAGATATCTTTAGCCATCGGTTTAGTAGAGAACGACTCCAACGAAGACATCACACAAATTGGATCCGTTTTGGAGTAAACTTTGGCTGAATTTGGGAATAAAGAGGCGATTCCAGAGTCGGCCAGTCTTACCACATATGATGTCTTTGTATTCGTTGTCTATTAATAAAAACAATTGTTATTTTAAGACATAATTGAATTTGCAATTAAGTGCCAAAACCTGATCTCCGGTATAGAGGAGTATGTTTTCTGGTTTAATGTTTTTGTGAGCGATTTTGTAGACATTGTGCAGACAGTGGACGGCTTCGCAAATATCGGTAAACCAAAGCCGAGTCCAGTCCTCATCCAAACCGTCCGGTTTTTGTTGCGAAATAAAGTCATTTAAATTCATGTCTGCCATCACTGATACGATTATCAGTTTCTTTATCTCATTATCTTTGGCCGATATCTTCAATAACTTCTCGATTTTCGGTATTTTGTTGTTTTGAATCTTCTCTAAAGTGACCACAGATTTGTTGAACACATCCGACAAACTCTTGTAATCAATTTCATTGATTTGCATCAAAATCTTGTGATACTTTTGAACGTCAATCACTTTAATAGCCATCGCCTGGAGTTTGCTTGTGGTCTCAGACTTGCGGTAACCCTTATATACGGTCCCATAATATCCGCCGCCAATACTATCTCCGGACAAATGGATGCCATTCTTCTTCAACTCTTTTTGTTCACTTTTATTAATGAACACTTGAAGACTGATTGTTTGCTTTGATGTCTTGTAATAAAGCATTGATGTTATCATAAATACCATCCAAAGGAAGGCATTGATTATCAATCCAAATGCTGTCACGTATACGAAACTAATGCCAAACCTCTTCAGTAATGGCAGAATTGAGGCCATTATTCTTGAAAAAGACATTTTTCTCATTCACTTTTAGTTATGCGGTTATGAATAAAGTTATTACTTATTATGAGTTGAAATTCAAATTCTGTAACAATTAAATGACAAATTTTTTGCGCGATTAATAACTAAAAAGTTTGTTTTGAAATTAGTTTAATATTATAAAACTATCGCATTAGACAGTCTGTAAATCTTTATTCAAATTATATTTTTAATGTTGCATTAAAAATGTGTACAAATGCTATAAACATTAAACAATTGAGAGATTTGTAAGTTATTTACTAAATGTATAATTCAAACGCTTAACAATTGTAATAATGTTTAAAATTCAAATCATTATTATTGTTATGGATTAAGAAGTCGTTATTATTAAGTGTTTGATATTAAAGAGATGACACGACTTTCTGATTGGTTTAGAAGTTTATGTGAGGAGAACCCGAGGAATAATACCAATACTAGTAAAGGGGTAATCAATAACCTATGGGTTAATAATAGTTATTCAAAGGTATAAATCTGTTAACTATAGACTCAAAAGCACGCCATAGACTCATTTGATCGCTTCGGTGATGATTTGATCCGACTTTTGTTGTCATATCATTCATACGATGAAGAGTTTGGCCCATTTGAGAGCAGATCCCGACACGAATGCGTCTCAAAGCAGTTCCAGAGATGTATTTACGACACCATTAATGAGATACATATCAGCGACCAATTGATTGCAAGAGTTAAAGCCAAAGAAGTGGATCTATCGGACGAAGACTTGTGCCTCAAATTTGTTGCATTTCTTCAGAAAAAGTGTCCAAATATTGTAAAGATAACGCATAATCATTGGTCATCGGGATCTTATTCCGGACCATTACTACAAGCCATGGATCAGTTGCGCATTGGCCGCATCTAAAGTGTGTTGATTTCAGTGATGGCTTTATTTGGCGCTATTTCTTTGATAATCAAGTTTATGAGAGGTTAACACTCTTTGGTTCAATGGTTAGAGATATCTCTATTCATAGCGACGAACTGATTCCATATGAAGAAGACTTTCCCAATTTGTGTTCTCTAAACACTACAAACTTGGATATGATGTTCACCACAAATGACAATCACTTAATGGCATTCAATCAGTTGAAAGACATACGTTTCTATTCGGTCAACACTCAATACAATTCCCATAGATTTAAGGCATTTGTCGACTACTATTCCTCTCGACTTGAGATTGTCGAGTATATAATGATTGATATATCGGAGACAAATGTCACCCAAACCTTAACACAATTGTCTAAATTAAGAGAATTAAAAGAATTGAGACTTAATTTAATGTGTTTCAGGGATTCAATCCTTCACTTTTCACTATACGATAATCTAAAGACTATTGGCTTAAAATGTTTAAAACTTAAAAGACTTTCATTGATAGTTCAATCAAAGAACACTGAATTGAATGTAGAGATTATGAATTGCATTCAATTTATACCACATTTAAAACGATTACGTTTAATACTAAGAACTGAAGGATACCCTATAACCAATTGGACTAAATTAGAGCCATTGAATCGTTGGCCACATTTGATTTATCCACAAATTTATCCATCTATTTGTGGGAATTTACACCACAATTGCTGGAAGAGATTGTGTCCACACAAACAAGACTACAGACATTTCATTGTTATATTAAGAATAATATGAACACAAAATGGTTAAGTTGTGTCTCAAGACTATCAAAACTACAATTGCTGTCAATTAAGTCCTACGAAAATCTAGACTTTCAAAAATCAGATATAAAGACAATTTTAAAAAAATGCACAAAATTGAGATCAATTGAAATCGACAACAGATTGGATGACATTTTCAATAAAACGAATGAAAGTAAAAAGTCTCAAAAAGTGTCAAAAATTCTCATTCAAAGTGTGTTCTTTCTATTGCATCAATTTTTTGTTAATTTTTTTTAATTTATAAAATGTTTTGTGTTTGTTAGCAATGTCTTCTTATATTTATATAACTTTATATATTTATTCATTTATACATCAAATAAATTGAATATTATTTTTTAAAATTTACAAATTTTTATTAAAATTAAGAAATATTTTGAAGCCATTTGTGTTGGAGAACAGTATGGATGTTAGGCCTGGCATTCGGGGCACTACTAGTCGTCGACTCCAACAACTCCTTCAATGACTGGCCTTCAATGTCTTCAATAAATTTGTAGAAAATATTAGCGAAAATAAAGTTTTTACGAATTTAATAAACAATATTAATTAGCATTATTTGAACGATAGATATAATTGAATAATTAATTTGATTGTTAGGTTTAATAAGAGTTTTCCGTTAAATTATTTTGATTTACATTTGAAAACAGTTATCATTACTTAAATCAATGGTTCATTTCTGAAAAGACAATCTATTAAATGATGAATACATTAAAACAAATGATTAATAAAATGTTTATTTTTACAACTGTTTACACAATTAGTGGTTATTATTGGCGTAAAACACATTGGAAACAACGAAAACGTCAATCTTTAGCAAACATTCATAAAATGATACCACAGTTTGGCTTAAGAACGACTCAATTGGTTAAAGACAACGACAATACCATTGATGAGATCAGCGATCAAATGATTCAAAGTATGGTTAAAATAATTACTACAATTAATACAATTCCGGGCGGAAAACCAGTGCCCATTTGGGGCACAGGGTTTGCCATCACTGACGGGCCGTATGTACTGACCAACAGTCATGTGGTCGACAATTCAGACGAAGTATACCTCATGTCGTACGCGAGGTTCAGGTCGGGAGACATCCGGAGCTCAATGGCTCAGAAGAACGGCAAAGTGGTGTACGTCGAGCCCGATATAGACATAGCACTCGTCCGTATTGTCGGATATTTGAAGATTACTGGCGCCCAATTGGATGAGACTGTGGCACCGGGCGATCCGTTAGTAACCGTTGGGAGTCCACAATTCATCGACTATACCGTAATGGATGGTATGGTCAGTGTTGTCGACCGTATAGGGCGTGACATTTCGGTCGGCACTCATAAGTATTTTATGAATTGTAAGGATCCGAACGCCAGGCATACTATACATACCTGTCCGCTATACCCGGGCTCATCCGGAAGTCCAATCATTAACACTAAGGGCCGGATTGTTGGCATCAATTGGGGAATGATTGGCGAATCGCAGAGTTGTGCCATCCGTTCAAAGACTATCAATGGTTTGCCGCTATTATTGATATTCAATTTCCTTTGATTTTCTTTTAATGTAAATTTTTATGATTTTTAAGAATTTATTGCCAGAGGAATAGAGTTTGAAAGCCAAGAGGGGGTTAGGAGGCGTCAGTACAGGTCTGACAAGTCATTGGGAGTAATTGTAAAACCAATTACTACACCTTTATATGAGGGACTTATTGTAAACGAGTGTCTGTTTATGATTGAAAAGTAATTGTATTTCTGATTTCATTTCAATTTAGAAACACTTTTGATAGAAAATAATGTGTAATTTCGTGTATTTTCAGGAATGATATCAATGTTTTGGATGTGATTATAAAAGTAAACGGAATTGATGTCAATTCAGTGTCCCATTTGAGAGATTGTGTGATTAATTGTGGTTCGAGTCAGCATTTGGTCGTAACAATTATCCGATCCCTTGATATAAATAAACCAATAGATTTGAAAATTATTCCGCAATCCATTGTTTGTCAGTTTATGTGAAAATATTTATCAATCAATTTATGAGAATTATTAAATATGTTTTTACTGTTAAATATTTTTTAAATTAAAAATTTATATAAAATAATGAATTTAAAAAAACATTCAATACAAACTTAAATGCTGGAAGTTTTATTTATTAAAAATACAATTTAGATACAAATTCAAACTTTGATTAAAATTTGGCCAAAACTTCGAGTTCAACCAAATAGAAGAGGCGATTGATTTCTTTGATAAACATCTTTATGTTATGACATCTGTCCGAAGAGTTGGCTAAACTCAGTGAACATTTCTCGGCGTTGGTATAGATCTGTCCGAATAGTTGAGAGATCTATTCATTTGGAAACAAAGTATACATTTAGACAATAATTGTTAAAAACAACACAAATACTCACTTCTCCTATAATTCCTGACATAACGTTATTTTTAAAATTTGAGGCAAACTTTCCAGAAGTCAAACCCGTTAACAGAGCGGCGAGTTTTGGCTTAAATTGTGTTAAATCTAAACCCAATGCCGTCTCAAATAGTGAACATTTGGCCTCTTTTATGGTTTCATTGAAGTGAACGGCTCTCCACTGTTCGTCGCAAAGCATGCCTTTAGTTATTCCCGCAATAGCTTTGATGGCATCGGATCTCTCCTCCGGAGTGCGAGCGCTGTCCACACGTTTGGTTTCCGCGTCTTTCAGTAATATATTTTCCAAACCTTTGGTGTATTTGTCATAGAATTGATAATAACAGGGAAGTCCTTCAGTGTTGGCGATCGCCGCCCTCTTCAGTACCATTTCTTCACCGGTTATCAAATTAGTTTGAGTCAAGTCATAGAGTTGTCGGTCTGTCTTCCCATTCAAATCATTTGCCCCACTCTTCACGCACTCGATGTCATCCTTTAGATCGCAAACCACTAAAATTATCAATCATTTTATAAAGGGTTATAGTATTTGTAATATTTAATTATTTCATTATAAAATAGTGCAAAACATACCAAAAGAAAACGCCAAAGATATGACCGCCAATTGAATCAAGCAATTCATTATTAAATTCAATGTTATATTTGTTTTATTTACTAAATATAAAATTATAACTTATATATTGAATGATTGTATTGAATGAATACAACTGTTTATATACATGTTATACAAAATAATTTTTCATTTATAATTTAAAATTTGGTAATTTATAAAACAACATGTTTTTCGGTTAAACGAATTAATCACTTCATTTTTAAATAAAATTGTTTACGCATATAATTAAAAAAAACTCTAACATTACTTCCACATTACAAATGATAAATACATATCTGAAAGTGATATTTTATATTTTTAACCACAATTAATACAAGGATATGAAGAATGTGGTTTATAGCATGATGAGATTCCCTTTCTTACCGTGTATTACATGTATTACGTATTAGAAAATTGTATTTGGTACTTTAAGTAATTTAAATGATTAATACAGTTAATCGAAACACATGTTAAACAGTAAATTATAAAATTTTAAATAATGAATGGAAATTTATTTTGTATAACATGTATACAAACAGTTGTAATGATTCAGTACAAGCATTCAATATTAAGTTATAATTTTTATTTAGTGAATAAAACAAATACAACATTGATTTTAATAATGAATTGCTTGATTCAATTGGTGGTCATATGTTTGGCGTTTACTTTTGGTATGTTTTGCACTATTTTATAATGAAATGATTAAATATTACAAATACTATAACCCTTTATAAAATGACGAGTACATATTAATAAAATGGTTTAGCCCTAGATCTGGGTCTCTCTCTCTCTCTCTCTCTCTCTCTCTCTCTCTCTCGCGACTATCATATGCTAACATAAGACTAAAAGTTTTATTAACACTTAACGACATTAGCAAAATAATAGGCGTTTGCCAAAAACGTTACACTATCACTCGGATTTAACGAACACCAAAATTCTGACAAAACATTTTGTAGATGAATATCATATTAAAAATAAAAATATTAATAACTATGATATTTTCGGCTAGACTAATGTCGGTTATTTTTTTTTAATCATAAATATTTAATAATTATTTTAAAATTAACTACTTTAGTAATGATAAATAATGACATTATATTGGCTCACCAATTAATAAGTAAACATCATTTGTAGCCTTATACGTATGTGATTCATTGTTATTTAAGTCTTGTGGTATTTTGAAATTCATTCAATTTTATTTTCAATTAGAAACTGTTTATACATATATATACTTTGTATATTTTTTAAATTTAAAAAAAGTATTTAACGAATTTTCCATAAATATAACATGGTCATAAATTAACATTACCCTTAACCTTAATATTGCCATAGACTTAACATTATTTGTAGACTTAGCATTGCAATATAAAAGCAGTTTATATAAAATTTACATATGAAAAAAGCCCGACGTTAAGTTATAGTATAGTAATGAACTCAATTTGTTATACAATGCTAAATCATATGTTAAGTCAATTAATGTTTACGCTAATCAATTGATTCATTTCTAACCTACACTTGGATTTATAAAAGTTTTTATGTTAATTTGAATAAAATTTCAATACTGGCTATCCTAAATTGACAACTTAGATTTATTGTCTTAAAAGTTCATGTTATATTTCAAGTGATATATTTAATATGGTCACAAGACTTCGAATTGATCATAGTTATCATTTTTGTTGAGGTAAATTTAAAAATCAAATTTTGTGTTTGATAAGTAAGTGAACCATATTGTATATTAGTGAAGAGGTATTGACGAGAAAACTAAATATCTGAAAGAATTTTCTAATTCTGACTTAATCTAAAAAAGTTATTATAAAATATAGTGAAATCAGTAAATTTTGTATGTTATTTAAAATGAAAACTTTTTCATTTTCATCAATTAATTGTAATTTTAATTGCAAATAACATATTAATTACTTTGTTAAATTAAGTTACCATGTAAACAATATTCTAACAAAAATAGGCACGCATTCTTATACAAATTTTTTTATGTCAAGAATTGAGAGTCCATTTATATAGAGGAAGACTGCCGGTTTTAGGTTTGTCAGAGACATTAGACGGTCAACAAATGAGCTGGTTTATATTTTCATATTTTCCAATTACCGTATTATCCCATAGACAACGCGCGCGTTATCTAATGAAAAAAGTGAATTTCTTGCCAAAATTAGTGGTGCGCGTTATCTACGGGGTGCGCGTTATATGTGGTTTATAAATAAATCACACAATGGCACCGGGCGATCCGTTAGTAACCGTTGGGAGTCCACAATTCATCGACTATACCGTAATGGATGGTATGGTCAGTGTTGTCGACCGTATAGGGCGTGACATTTCGGTCGGCACTCATAAGTATTTCATGAATTGTAAGGATCCGGACGCCGGGCATACCATTCATACCTGTCCGCTATACCCGGGCTCATCCGGGAGTCCAATCATTAACACTAAGGGCCGGATTGTTGGCATCAATTGGGGAATGATTGACGAATCGCAGAGTTGTGCCATCCGTTCAAAGACTATCAATGGTTTGCCGCTATTATTTTTATTCAATTTACTGTCATTTTCTTTAATGTAATTTTTTTTAATGGTTTTTAAGAATTCATTGCCAGAGGAATAGAGTTTGAGAGCCAGGAGGGGGTTAGGAGGCGTCAGTATAGGGCTGACAAGTCATTGGGTGTAATTGTGAAACCATTTAATACACCTTTATATGAGGGACTTATTGTAAACGAGTGTCTGTTTATGATTGAAAAGTAATTGTATTTCTGATTTCATTTCAATTTAGAAACACTTTTGATAGAAAATAATGTGTATTTTCAGGAATGATATCAACGTTTTGGATGTGATTATAAAAGTAAACGGAATTGATGTCAATTCAGTGTCCCATTTAATAGATTGTGTGTATAATTGTGGTTCGGGTCAGCATTTGGTCGTAACAATTATCCGATCTCTTGATATAAATAAACCAATAGATTTGAAAATTGCTCCGCAATCCATTGTTTGTCAGTTTATGTGAAAATATTTATCAATCAATTTATGAGAATTATTAAATATGTTTTTACTGTTAAATTTTTTTAAATACAAAATTTATATAAAATAATGATAATTATATAATAATTTTAAAAAAACATTCAATACAAACTTAAATGCTGGAAATTTTATTTATTAAAAATACAATTTAGATACAAATGCAAACTTTGATTAAAATTTGGCTAAAACTTGGAGTTCAACCAAATAGAAGAGTCGATCAATTTCTTTGATAAACATCTTTATGTTATGACATCTGTCCGAAGAGTTGGCTAAACTCAGTGAACATTTCTCGGCGTCGGTATAGATCTGTCCGAATAGTTGAGTGATCTATTCATTTGGAAACAAAGTATACATTTAGACAATAATTGTTAAAAACAACACAAATACTCACTTCTCCTATAATTCCTGACATAACGTTATTTTTAAAACTTGAGGCAAACTTTCCAGAAGTCAAACCCGTTAACAGAGCGGCGAGTTTTGGCTTAAATTGTGTTAAAT